TTAATCCTATAAGGGGAGTGGGCAAAGTGGACTCTGAGTATACAGTGAGGTAATGGTGTGCGCCGAGAAATATTCACAAAGAACCAGATTTGTTCTTTGTGAATGAAGTGTATATATTTAGTCTGTAGAATAATTTAATTAGAAGATTCTGATTGTTTTAATACATTTTAAACTAAGCTCAACTCTCCGCTGTGTGGAGCGAATATCACTTTAGAATCCATCTGCAAATGTGGCCACTTTATAAACACAGTATGTCGGAGAGCAAACCTCCCACATGCTTTGCTACACAGTCATCCGTCAACAGGTGGAGCTGTTCCACACGAGATGGACAGTTAACCAAGCACGACCCAATGTGAGGTCTTGACTGCAGTTAGCTAATGTGAGTTCAAAGTCTGGGATCACTTGCAAGACAGGTGGCCACGCTGCCGGCTTATGTGTGACATTCCCGCTCTGTTATTGCACAGTTTTCCATACATTTGTTTACAACTGCAGTTTAGAATAGCACTGAGGGTTTAGTACAAGGCTTTGAGAGGTGCATTCACAGCAGTTTTTCAATCCACAAGCAACCTGGTGTAGCCGGTTGTTTTTCAGGACTGGGACATGATTGACAACTGTGTGGCATGGATAAGCTGAGCATATGAAATATGCTGACGTTGTTTTAACTGAGTATGTGGTGCATTCTCCTACAGGCAAGAGAGGACAGTAAGACCCCCAATTTTTTTGACTAATTTTGATGCTGTGAAAGAGCAGGTGCTTCAAAGTGCAGTATACCAGTCATCAGGGGCTACAACCTATACACTCTCCTATGTGTATAACCCAATTGCTTAAGGTGCATGTGGTGCCAGCAGTTTAACACACATATTCCACCCTAATCCTATAGCTTTCTATTAAAAGACTTGACAACACTAAAACTTTTTCCCCTAAACCAAATATTTTTCTATTTTCCCCCTGTCAAATGTGTTTTATTCTAATGAGGATTGAATTAGCTTCACAGATAATTTTTGAGCTTGGATTTATCCCAAGTTGTCTCCACTGACAAAGCCACATGGGAAAGGTCATGTGTGTGTGCCTATAAAACTACAACATGTGGGAATCAGCTCATCATCTCTCATGTTTATGCATAATTTTCTCTCTGTTCTGCGTCCGTTGGTAAACACTTTTCATCAAATGTCTTTGTGCAACAAACTCTTTGAAGGACATTGCCTTTAGGTACATCTGCCTTCAAAGCACTGCCTCTCTTTTTCCCTCCTTCTCTCTTTCTCTGCCTATCTCTTTAATGCTAAGCCTACACATGTGTAGCGGGGGAACAAACTCCTAATTTCACATCCCCATTGTTCAAAGCCATGTGTGTGAGATGTCGGGCTGTATGTGTGTCTATCTGTGTGTGTGTCTGAATCTTTAAGTTGCCGTTGTTGCTACAACATGGCTGAGTTTGTACCAAAATCCTACAAAGAAGTTGGAAATCTGGCTTGACTCCTCTGTTCAGCTGTGGTGGGTGCTATCACACACACATTCACTCGTAGTTGTGGTGGGAACGCTATCAAAGAGAGAGATACCTGCAAGGCACAGCAGCCTGAAGCCCAAAATTGATTTACAGAGTGAGAGAGAAAGAGGAGAAGAGGAGGGGTAAAAAGGAAACACGTTAGATTTAGGGTGTAGGAAACACAGAGGCACAGAGATACTGAGCAAGGCAATAGATTTTAGGATAAATGCTAGAGTGCCCAGCTAAACTGAAAGCTTGTTAAAAATAATATGGCCCTTGTTAAATCATAGTTTTTCCTTCTTGAGGGTTTTAAGGATTTAAGGATTAACAAGTCCTGCTGCTCTTTCCCTCTAGAGTCTAGACGCTTCAGTTGAGTTCATTTCAACCTTGAATTCCAAAACTTAATTTCACATCTCAGCTTTTCTCATTAGGATTTTATCAACTCATATCTTTATTGATTTATGGCAAGTCTTTCCCAGAAAATAGCAGATCCAAACTTTCGCTTGCAATGCAAAAGTCATATGTCAAGTTACAATAGTTTCCTCCTTTTCTCTTTGTATATTTATCAAACTCTTGAAACACAATGGGCTTAAACCTGAGTTTCAGGATGGGAGGACACATCTCTTGATTGAGTTAGTGATTAGTAGCTTTCAGTAACCAGTATTACTGCGCCTGATTCTGAGACAGAGGGATGTGTAATGTTGTTTCGTGCCAGATACAATTGACTGTAGCCTATCTATTGTTTTATATTCTTCTATTTTGGTTGAAATTGTTTTATTGCTGGTGCCAAATTAAATGATTGATGATAGATTCTCTGACTTGCATCCTTACCAACTTTACGGACAAAAGGAACAACAGAGGCAGAGGAGATGCTATAGAAGGATATCTGATAAAGGTTATTTATTGTGGGACACAAGTAGGCATTCAGCAGATTTTCAAAGTCATTTTGATGGATGAGGGTCTTACATAACTAGACTTTTTGAACATCTAATGTGGCGAGGGGAACAAACTGCTGGTGTGCTTCTTCTTTTACTGTACACAGTGGGACACCTTTGACTTGAACCCAGCAGTTCCTGGTTGTCTGCTGTCGAATGTGTTGTAATATTCATCCACTTCCCCTTGGTCTTTGCAGGAGTTGGTTTCTTTTTGTGAAGTGTGTGAAATATGTGAAGCCAGAGATATTAGACTTGATCTAAAGAGCCCCCTGTCACAATGCCTCCTCAACTGCTTCCAGATTTTGTCCAACGGGGCAGGACAGCAGGGGTATCTAACACTTGTTTAGGACAAGAATGTGTTCTATAGCATTTTCTAACATCTGAGGAAGTGAGCAAAAGGAGTAAAAACAGGGCACTGCCATGTCCATCTTGTATGGTTCAAGACGTTTCCACATTGCTCTTGTTTTGCTGAAAGGTAGTGGATGCACTATACACTAATGCCAGATTTATTCTGCAGCTCTGCAATACTAAACTCAACTTACTCGTTTTTGGTTTCCCTAGAGCAGGGGTCGGCAACCCGCGGCCCACGGGCCGCATGCGGCCCTTTAAGCCCTCTGCTCTGGCTCCCTTGAGCTTAGACAAAAATAAGAAGGAAAACAAATAAAAGTATTTGTAGGACTATTTATATTTTGTTGCATGGTTGAAAATGTTTCGTATCTTGTATTTTGAGGTGATACTGTGACACATAAATAAAAAACAAAACGGTTTTAATTAGGTCAACTAAAATATAAGTCACAGTCACAGTCTATGGTCACATCCTGCTACGGTCCTGCGCGAGCGCCTTTTCTTGGAGGTGAATAACCTGACCCCCGGCTCGATGAGCGAACTATGGATAAATCAAAGAAAAGTACCGGAGGAACACAGGATTTAATTCTGTGTGGACAGAGTTATATGCTTTCACAGCAAACGATGCTGGTTTAACGGTATGTCTGATATGTAGAGAGAAGTTGTCAACGGTGGTGCAGCCTTTACGTATCGAGGAACAACACGGGAGAGGAAGACAGACGATCATCAGTCATAATTCAATGGGGTATGTAATTTATTTCAGAAAACACTTTTTGTTATATTCCATGGAATGCTCTTCACGTCCCGATAGCAATGAATATATTAAATGCTTTGACAATAAATACATACAAAAAGTAATCTCTGGAAGCCGTAGCGCTGTAAAAAGCACGACCAATCATCTGAGCCGGCCCGGCTAAAATAACTGGATGGCCTACCTGCCTGTCAGCCTTCCATCTGTGCACAAACTTATCTCGTGCCCTCATTGGTCATGTGTGCGTTCGTGTGTGTTGGAGGAGGGGCTCTGTAAGAAAGTCTGAAGGAAGAGGCATATTTTTTCCGGTTGTGAACTTTCAAATTCTAGCGCACTCGAGCTGGTTTCTCCATTCTTACCTACCCTACCTTTAACTCTTTTTATGGTGCAGCTATATGTTTTATTTATTTCAAAGTGGGCTCATTTTAATAATATGTTTTGTTCCTTCAAATGTGCAGAGGACTCCCCAAGTGCTGTGTTTAATTTATTTTAAAGTAGGCCTGTGTATTATTTTTAATTCTCCTTATAAGAGTTATTTGTTTCTTATTATAGGTTAACAGTTTTATATCATGTAATAAATAGCCTAATAAATTGTTAGAAATTAAAATCAATGTTTTGATGGCATAATGTACCTTAAATGTACCTTCAGTTTAAATGCTGTTTTATACTGTAAAACCAGAAGTTCTTGTGCACAACCAGTTGTTAAGCTTTTATTCTGAAAATCCTTCATCTCCGGTTAGCATTTAGCATGAGGCTAATATACCATTTCCTATAGAGGTGAATTTAGCAGCGATATGATATGATGTTGCACACCGAAACCTACTGATTTCAACACTACAACTATAGACGTCGAGATATTATTATTGTTGGATATTAAATGAAGGTACAGTTTATTTGAGTACGTTATTGTTTACAGATGTGGGTAGCATGTCAAAACATTCGGAACGACCGGAAAACCAAATTGCTTTGAAGTATTTCCTGTATTTTTTGGAGTATTGATTACAGCGTTTAGAATGTGTTAAATGAAAAGTCATGAAAGAGTTAAGGAGGAGAAAAGGCGTGTTTAGATATATTGAATGTACAATGTCTGTATCTTCTGATATGCGCAGCAACGGACATTAAATACGTGGAGAGCCGGCCCCCAGGGAGGAGCCAGGAGAGGATATATAAACAACGAGACCTGAGGGGTCGGGCCTCTTGTTCTGCTAGCGAGAGCCAGGGACAGCTGCTTTTCTGTCGAACAATATCCTGTTTGTGACTTTACCACGCTTTGTATTATTAAAGTACCAATGTGAACCTCCAGAGACTCCATTTAGTCTCCTTTTTAAGCTTCTCTTTCCTGGACGCTGAGAATAAGAACACAGATAACAATTGGTGACCGGCTGACGGGATTTTCGTTGCACCGGGAGAGATTATACACGCGGCTGTTGCCCGGAGCCGTTGGCAGCTGTTCAACACACAAAGAGCTCAAACCACGGTAAGGAGAAACCTGTTACATCAAAATTCTTCAATAGTTTATGCAGGACAATCTTAGGACTGTGTGTTGGACGGCTGCTTCCGGTTCCTGAAAATAGCTGGGAAATTAATGTTAAAACAACCAAATGTATAACCAGAGCTGCCAAGTCTCACCCTTTGAGAGTGAGAGTCACGCAATGTAACCTCTTCACACGCCTCACGCCACACTTGCCATTTCACACGCTTTCCCCCCCCCTCTCACTACTTTATAATTATTTTTTTATTTAATGATATATTTCCATAACTTGTTGCTTGAGGCTTGCCGTAGTTCGAGTCAGGGACAGGGTGAGCCCGCCCTATTCTGCCCCCGATTGGCTGACCGAGATATGTGATAACCAATCATCAGCCCTCGAGGCTAAATCCAACCAACCCAACGAAAGGCACCACGTATACAAACCAATCAGAGGCAGCTTAGGGCGGGTCATTGCGTCTCTATCCTATGAAGAACAACATAACTCTATGGCGGAGAAATCGAAAAGTAAACGTGAAACGTCTGTGTCAGCGCCTCAATAATGCCGTGACTGACATTTTCATCTGAAGCGGGAGGTCAAACGGTAGGTAACCACATTATTTGTACAAATATTTTTATTTTGATGAAGTCAACGGTGGGTCTGACTACGTGAGACTTAACGTTACACAGGCTGCTGGTGAGCAGTGTGGCAGGTTGCTGCGGTGGGTTTAACAACAAACAACCGTGACTAATAGTGTTAGTTAAATCATTACGTATTTGCTTGTGTGATCTAATGGATACTTACTATGAGCTAAGGAAATTTACAGTACTGTACTGTACCTGTGCTGTTTGCATTTCTGTCTAATAAAATATTCAATCAATCAAACAGTAACATGTAGCTATCTTTTGATCCAGAGGATCTGACTGTGGATGTGGGATACTGGTTTAAAGGAAGCACCAATCGTAAAGGTTACCTGACAGGTATGTGCAGTCCAAATGAAATTCAGAAGAGTTAAATTAAATGGAAATTAAGATGTTCCATTCTTGTCATAGAATTATGTGAGCTCCATGGAAGCGAGTATTTGGAAATACTTATGCACGTTTCCATTCGATGGTTGAGCCTGGAGAGGTGTTGACTCGTACCCTGCAACCACTGGCCAGCTACTTCAAGTCATCAGGTAGGCATAATATTTCAATGATCCAAATGAACGAACGATTATTATAACAGACTGAAAAGTAAATGTATGTAATATGCACAACCTATGTTTTTTTTATTCACAGATGAGAAACAACCAAGGTTCAGGAGGCTGTTGGAAGCATTCTCTAACCCAATGACAGAGGTGTACCTGCTCTTCTATCAAGCAACGTTGCCAGTCTTCTCCACCTTCAACCTCCTCCTCCAGAGAGAGAAGTCCTCCATCTTCCTTCTACATGATGAGGTAAATTGGGAAGGTTGGGATACAGTATGCTAGTAATAATGTACTATGTTTGTTCCTTTTTTCATCATCCGCAAGTTTCTCTCGAAGTTTCTGAAGCCCGCAGCACCGGGAATTGCATGAAATCCTCTATAAGGACCCATCAAACCTACTGCCAGGTAATCCTCCCAAGTTTCACATCAGCAGATGCACATACACTATCCACTCACTGATCTCACTCACATAATACTGTTTGTGTTTGTTAGAGGGCTGCTTGTGCAGACAAGTTATGAGTTTGATAATCTCATCTCATCACACACATAGGACCACAATGGAAACAAGTCCACAGGACTTTTTTATGTTATCCTTTTAGCCCAAATGTGTGACTGTACCTTGTGCTGTTTGCATTTCTGTCTAATAAAGTATTCAATCAATCAATCAATCACTGATGTGATGAAGATACTTAAAGGGGTGCTTTCAAGTTAGCTATTGTGGTTGTTGATGATTGCTAAAGTGACTCAACACCGGTCTTATTCCCAGTCTCATACTGACATGTTGGTGTTGGGAATGAGAACATATTGCATCAATCTTTCTCCAGAATCGCATACAGCACCTTAATGTGACGTTGTTGATTTATTGTGTCTCTCGTAGGAGAAAAGCTGGTGATCGGCTTCACTACTCGAGCTATACTCAACAGGCTCCTTGATGCAGGAGACATTACACCGCAGCAAGTGCAGAGGTTCCAGCAGGCAGCAGTGGCGTTTCTGGTGAGGGCTGTGGAGTATGCCATGAAGAAACTCCCCATGAGAGAGCCCCAGATAAAACATGCCATGTTTCTGGATGTCCAGCAGAGGGTAGAGTGTGGAGTGGAAGACGCCTTGTACTTTGTCGACAGGTTAGTTGGGGTATCAAGTCAAGTACATTTATCTATAGTGCCAAATCATAACACAAGTTATCTCAATATGCTTAAGTAGAGCAGGTTAAAGACTCTTGGCTCTTGTCACATTTTCTTAACATTTTCTTAATAGATTGTAAAGTTTAATGACCACATCTGAAAAACAACCCGTTTCAGCTACATTACTTTACCAGATCAGAGCACATTGTGTTCTTTTTAGGTTTCCTGAACTTCTCCCATACAACGGACCTGACGAGCAGTTTCTGGACTACCAGTCCATGGACATTGCCATGCCCGAAGACCCAGCCACGTTCGACATTGAGAGCTTTTGGGGGAACTTGGCATCAATGAAGAATAAGGTAAGAATTATTCTGCACCCTTTGAAATACCCATTGACGTAATCAACTTAATTCTATACAAAAATACTTGAGAGTAATTAGGCTTCCTACATTTTTCAAAGGTGACCGGTATGAGCAGATTTGGGAGGCTCTCTCGTATTGCCAAGTTGGTGTTGGTACTTCCACATTCAAATGCTGATGCTGAACGAGTGTTCTCTGTGGTGGGACTGAACAAAACCCGAAAAACTGTTTGGCTCTTGATGGAACTCTATCATCCATCATGACTGTGAAGATGGCAAACCTTGAGCCACAGTGTTTCAAATGGGAGCCCCCTCCCTCTGTCATCAAGGCATCAAAATCTGCCACAAACACCTACAACATGAGACATGTCATGTAAACCAAAACACACAAACAAAGACATGCACTTTATTTATTTATAATATATATTATATATATATTATTCTGGTTCTAATTTTGTTACTCTTAAAAAAAAATGCACTAAAGGAAAAGGCTGCTATTGGTTCTTAAAAGGCTGCTATTATTTCCTAAAAGGCTGCTATGTTTTCTTTATATTGACATTTTATAAATAAATGTATTTTATTTGTCAAACCTTTTCTTGTTACAATTGTTTTCATTTCTACTTGTGCTGGTCAATTATTAACACTATATAAGCATGAGGAGGCCGACAGTGCAGGGAGGGCAGCTGGCATGGGGGTGAAGACATCACAACAGTCTTAATGTTAATTTAAATTGAGATATTCCTCTAAATCGACGTTAAAAAAGGCAAAAAATAAATCTAAACGCATCTTCCCCCGAAAGTCTCACTCCTACTTGTTACTGAAACTTGGCAGCCCTGTGTATAACAATAAGAATTCCATAACACGTGGCGTTGCATTTTCACAAGCAGGGTGAGTTCAAATTACTTATTTTTCTTATGTTTAACCCTGCATGCTATTCGTTTGTCTGTTATTACATGTCGGCAAAAGGCTAATCGCTCCAATAAGTGTTTTTTGTTACGTTTTAAGTTAACGTGAATGGTTTTAGGCCATTAAACAGTGGGGACTGTTTGAGATAAAGAACACAATCACAGTGGAAGCTGAGAATATTGGAGTGAGTGTTTGTGTTAAGGACAGTGTGAAGCTGTTTTTCTTTTTTTAAAGTCCTTTATGTTGATGAGGGCAATCATTTCAAAGTGTTTCTTGTTATGTTTTAATATAACGTGAATGGTTTTAGGCCATTAAACAGTGGGGACTGTTTGAGACGAGAACAAAGTTGAGTGAGTGTTTTGATTACAGTGTGAGGCTTTCTTTTAAAAAAAGTCCTTTTCTGGGAAAAGGCCTGAAAAGTTTGACGCTTTCAGTGGTTGTTTTTTCTGTTTTCAAACAGACATTGCGTGTGGATTACGACAAGGAGTGCGACATTCGTGCGTTAGATAGACGATATTCTGCTGATTGTGTTTGATTAGCGTCTTACTTTGTCCCATGATAGCGTGTTTAAACAGAGGAGATAACCATACTGGCTCTTAAAGTCAAAACATTACGTACATGGGTTGAGGGCTTGTGACGTAAGGGTATGAGGCCCATTTATAATTGTAAATTACATAGAAATGTTATTTTAAACTGCAGTGTTGTTTTGTGTTGAATTTTCTAGAACTAAAAGATCACCCTCATGATTTCAACTCCGCTCTGAGAGCCACAAGGTGTTTTCAAATCCCTTTGTTCTTCAGGTCAAAGGTTGGAAAATCAGTTGCCATCTTGTCTTGTCCTCGTGTTTACAATGAGCAATGGCAGTCGCCATTTCGTGAAATGCTAATTTGAAAGTACTCAGTCCTACTCACATGAGGCTAGGCACTCCATCTTGAGAAGGATAAATCATATTTCTTTGCAGAGTTGGAACTATAAAATAGACAGGTTATTTTACCGTGGGAAGTTTGGTATTTGTGGGGATTTGATTTTGGAAGTTTATTTTCTGCTTGGAAGTGTGAATTGACGTTTTTTAAATAGTCCAGTTTGCAAATGTGTTTTGGCGTTTATGTGCTGTGTTGTTTTACCATAGTGTAATGTTCTTCCCTAGTGTAATTCTCTTTCCATTTTTAAGAAGAAAAATAAGCTTTTCTTGTTAAATAGAGGTTAGTTTTGCAACAGTAATCCCTAGTGGATTAAGCTGGAAATTACAATAGCGCACTCTGCTGGTAGTACAGAATTATTACATAGATAGCACTCAATAGCATTTTGAAGTTTAATTGTAAGTGTTATAAATAAACACATGTTTCATCGCCGAGATCGAATTGCAAGTGGTTTCTAATTATAAGATAAGAAACTTTACATAATACTTTTTCAAATAAGCAAACAAATGTATTGAAGCTAACACAAGTTAGGACATTTACATAATTTCATACACTTTGGTATGCACTGTACACAGTAGATTTAGATTTTCACCAGATTTCTAATTTTCATATTTCAAAGTCAAAACCATACACTATACCATTTTTATTTTAGCATTTCCGATTTTAAAATTTGCATAATTTTTATCTTTTAATTAACTTTATTAATATATTTAAAATAAAAAAAAGCCCAGATTTAAAGTTAGGTTCAGAAGACATAGGATATTACTTATCAGGAAAGACGGTGCTAGTCAGAGGATTGGTGCTTAATAATATTCATTCGAATAGCAAGAGAGCATGTCACCAAAACAAACTAAGCTGGGACCAGACGCAGAGCCAGGCTCAACTGCAGATATCAAGGGAAGGATACAAATCAGATCAGATGCTTTAACAGCTCCAAATCTTAGAAGAAAGACATGGAGCCAAATGGAGAAACTGTTGCAACAATGGCAAACGAGAGGACTGTATCCAGCAGATGATCAACCTGGACCAACAAAAGCCCATAGAAGAGCAGTACTCGACTATGAGCACGAACAATGCCTACAACAGCTAACTATATGGAGAGAAGCTGAAGAAAGATTTATAAGAGTTACAAGTCTGATACTCCATCTGGAATATGCCAGCCTATTGGCAGACAGCATAAATGTGGTCCAAGTAGCAGATCTGGCAGTGAGGGAAGACATAGCTCCAGTTATCCAAACACCGAAGCTGTATCTAAGCCTGGCCGAAGTCCCTCCTCCCTCCCCGAATGTTGGTTCTATAGGAGAAGTCTTGCAGTTGGATGGAGTCTCCACGGACAAACATCTCAAAGAATTGGAGTATGAAGTAAGAGTACTAACCAGTAAATCAAAACACCTGATGGAAGAGAACATACGATTAGAAGAAATCACAGAAGAAAGACAAAGACAGAAATGGAAGCACTACAACTGAGACTCTTGAAGATGCAAATAGCTGAGAAAGATACCGAAGCTAATAAAAACAAGAAAGCGGCAAGGCAAATGGCAGCTACATCAGGGATGGCCATAGAACCAGAGAAGGCAGGTCAGACACCTACAACAATTCAAGCTCAGGAAGTGCCAGAGATTCAGGTGCAGAATCAACAAAGAGGGGGAGGAGGTTTCCGAGGAAGACAAAGTGGCAGAGAAGGAGGGCGTTTCCAAGGAGGTAATCGATCAACAGGACAAGGTTTCCAAGGTGAAGGATGCTCCATATGTGGTCAGTTCTCACATTGGGCCAGATATTGTCCGCAACACAGGATGCTGCAAGTACCAGAATATCTTCCCACACAATTTCGGCAACAGCAAACACCTGCATATCATCCTACCCAAGTACAGCCGCAAGCACAGGCATACACTCCCATACAGCATCAACAAAAGGGACAATGGAGAGGAGAGCCACGATCAAGACGAAGAACAGATGAAGGCTGCTACAAATGTGGTCAGCTGACACATTGGTCCAGAGAGTGTCCGCAGAACATTGCACCAAACAACGGCCCTCCATGCAGTTACCCCGGGTATGTTTCCATGATGACAACGGAGGCAGGGGGTCCCAGAGATGTCAAAGACGAACAGGGGTGCCAAACATGACCCAAATGCCACTGACACCCTGGTATCAATCACAGCAATGAGGAAGCTCAGAGGGCCAGACCAACAGGTGATGCATCCTCAGCCCAAGGGTATTTTGAAACCCAGCTACATTGAGCCATCAACACAGTAGGGAGAAGTTGAATGTTATTTAAAGAGATAGTGAGTAGCATATTGCATTTACACATAAAGCATCCACAGATTAGTAGAAGATTAAAACATAGTAGAACATTTAGCAGACTATTTTTGTAATTATGAGAAGGATAGAGATTACGAGTGATGTTGTTCCCCCACACAGAAAACTATTGTGTCTACACAGCTAGTGAAGTCAAGACGATGGGGTTTCCACTAAAAAATATGAAGACGGAAACCTAGTACTCGCCCAAGATGGAGGATCCATACCATATCCTCCTGTTTACACCGACTGCAGTTCAAGGGGCGGCGATACACCTGACGTGGAGCTGTTGAGACCTAAAAACTAGGGCCGGGACTCGATTAAAAAAATTAATCTAATTAATTAGAGGCTTTGTAATTAATTAATCGAAATTAATCGCATTTTTAATCACATATAAATATTTGACCTGAGAACAGTGAGAAGCAATTTTTTTCACATGGATTTTAGTATACCATTTGGCGCATTCACACCGCAGTACTTTTCCCACAAAGGTTCATGAGAACTCTTTGAACCTGGGGGTGGATTAGGCAAATGAAGCCGCTGACGTCACTTCTTCTTCTTCTGCTTTGGGTTTACTGGCAGGCCGCAAACCACTTCACGGCATATACTGCCGCCCAAAGTCCCCGGCCGGAAGTCCCCGGAGTTGGGGACTGGCTTCAGTAGAAGCTGCTGGGACTCCCAGCAGCCTTCCGAGTAAATCGCCAGAACGCCGACACCTCCTCATCTCCACCGCTCCCATGTTTTATTTTGTGTTGCCATAAATTACCCCCTAATCGCACCAGGAGCGTCTGCGCTGCGACCTCCTCCTGCGTCCTAACCCACCAGGCGCGTTTCAAAACGTTGCGGAAGCGGAGCGTCGTGTGTGCAGCCTCGCAGTTGTTGGATGAACATTCCACTTCCTGCCTGCGCCGCGCTGCGCCGCGTCAAAAATAGGATTCATCCTATATTTTAGAAATTCCTTGCGGCGAGGAGCTTCTGGGACGCTTCGAGCCGCGGCGCAGCGTGTCTGGTGGAATAGCACCCATTGACTAGAGTGGCCGCGATCGCTAAAAACGCCGCAGCCGCAACGCAGCGCAGACGCTCCTGGTGGGATTACGGCCCGTACACACAGCAGCTTTTGGCGATTTGTCCACCGCTTCCAGCGCGTCTCCGCCCATTGACTTTGAATGGGGATGACGTCGCTTTCCCTCGCTTGTCGCCGAACTGCATTGTGGGGGGGCGAGGCGAAGATTTCCAGGATTTTCAGGATTTCAAAGTTGAGCAATGTTCAATTTTTGAAGCTGAGCTGGAAGCGTCAGCCAATCAAATCCCGTTTATGCAAATCTGACAGTTCAAGCGCTATCCAATCAAACCGCGTGCAAGCTGGGAGAGCCAGACCGCAGTTCATTCTATATTCCTAACAAAAATGGAGGAGAACTTAGTTATTGCGGTAGCAAATCACCCGGTTCTTTACGACCAGACTATTTACCGG